AACAGTCTCTCCAAGTTTTAGTATCCTGTGTGACTTTGGGACAGCAGTATAATGGCCTTGTATCTTTAGATGGAATAATATCTGGAATTTCCAGGGCAGGGCAGGAAGCAATAGGTGTGGTCCTTAAAGTAATGCTACTAGTCTTTAGTTAGTTCATTCTTTTGCAAACTTTCTTTTTAAAGTCTACCACCTTGTACCTCCCTAGTGGCACAAGGGGTCCAGTCTCAGCACTATGAAGCTACCCACAGCCACTGCAGCACTAGTTTGATCCCCAGCCAGGGAATTGACTCACATGGGGGCAGCAGACCTCTCCTATCTCACCCTCTGCTCCCCTCAGCAGTGTATTTCAGTCAATCCATCTGTTCTGTTCCCCACACTGTCTCTGGTGACTCCTCTCATCTCCCCCCACACACCTCTGACCTTATCCCAGTTCTTATATACATAAATAAATCTGTTTTTAAAATAAATAAACCCCACCATCACCAATGTAGAGATAAGCATTTTCTTTCACTACTTTTATGTTGGCTCTCCCATCTTCCCTTTGCATACCTACAAAGCCTTACCTCACTTTGAGAAGCCATTCAGTAGCTTCCTCTTGAGTCCCACAGCTTTGTGTCTGAATTTGTGGTGACATGTTTTGCATCATAACCAATGGTTTCTACTTTACTACACTAGGAGCCCCATGAGGGTGAAGACTACATTTTGTGATTTACTGGGACATGTCACTCAAATTCTACCTGCAAGTTTAGTCTCTCAATGACTACGTACTGTTGAAAGTTAGTGAACACACGCCACCAATTTTTACCCCTGCAGAGCACTCCAGCCCAATTCCTACATAGTGGAGTTATTAGAGGAAGAACCTTACCTTGCTTTTTCTTCTACTATGTTCTCATCAAATTAGTACCTTCTTTTCCTTTATTAAAAAAATACATTTCAAAAAAATTTCTCAGAAAGCTGTGTGGATTAACCTATCTTCTCCAAATCACTAGCTTGGGCTCGATTTATTTTTGATCCCTTTTAACCAAACGGTTTTGATCCTTTTCTTTAAAAAGTCATTAATTTTAGAGAATCTATATGCACTCTTCCTACAGTTCTAGAGATAATAAGTGAAAGTATTACTGTGAAATGAATGGAGAGAATTTGGTTATCAGTTGCAACCCATCTTTGATTCAAAATCTATAGGTAGAATGAGCAACAGAGTTATGAATTTCTGTGAGTTTCAAAACCAGGAAACTCTGTGATGCCAGAGAAAAGGTAACTACCCACCCTCCAGTTCCCCCGGGCTCATAGGGTTCCTGTCATCTCCCCTGCCCCGACTCTGTATCCTGTTCCTTTACTTCCAGATGTTGATGAGAGCAAGGCTCTCTGCTTAGAAAAGCCAAACTCAAGATTGAGTTCTAGGAAAAAATAGGTGAGGGCTATGCCCTAGGCCAGCAACCACTAGTTTTCAAAAACACTAGAAGCAGAAACAGGAGATACTGAAAATGGGAAAAAGAAGCCAAAGAAGTACAGTCAATAATACAAAAGTTTCACCCAAGTTCTAGGTCTTTATCTTCATGCATGTGTTCCCTTTCAAAAGGAATTAAATGAGTTCTGTATTAGTTTAATACAATGTAGACAGAGAATGGAAATTTTTGTACAAAAATACTTTCCTGTTATTTAAAAATATCATTGCTGTCTGAACTGCTGGAAGAATAAAGGATGTTCATTTCATTGCTATGAAACATGTTTTGGTTGAAATATATAATTATAATAGTAATTATAAATATAATCTCATTTAAATATAACCTAATTCTACCACCACCATTAGTAGATGTGTTCTATAGATGGCAAACTAAAGCTCAGAGAGGTTAAATAACTGTCAAAATTCACATAGCTATACAAAGCAAAATCACATCAACTCATAGCACATCAACTATCCTTTAATTTTATAAAGTTCACTTTCCTTTAGAAAAAAAGTACTGTCTGACTTCCTTCTTGTTAAACTCTGAATAAGTAGTCTGTGATTAAGTCTATATGTGCTCTTTGTTTTTTTTATATCATCTCAAAAGAAGAAAAATATGAATATATAGCAATTATCTGAATAAGCTTAGTTATACTTTGTTATAGATAGAACAGATAATAAAAAAACTAAATGGCTTTAGAGCTATATTTTTCTTCGAAAGAAGTATCATGTGTTTTAATTTCCCTACCACCTTCTCTCCCACCTCAATGTACATTTAGGACCACAGGTATCTTTCCACAGACCCCAAGTTACAACCTGAGTTCCTTCAGCTCCACCTTTGGGAAGGGGGGTATGAAATGTGGAGGCTGACTCAGCTTACTCTATCTCGAGGGGACAATAGTTAGTTACCAGGGTTAGTCATAAGCAATAGTTATTACTTGAAGAGGCCTCCTCTCTGTTGGCCATCTATCAAAAAATATGTGAGTACATAATTCACAAACAATCCTGTCAGGTGGCTAATATTATCGTCACTGTTTTGTAGATGAGGAAATGGAGTTCTGAGGGGTTGAGGACTTTGCTTAAGATCACATAGTCCAAACTTTCTGGGAGCTTAACCTCATGCTCCTCTCACTCAGGAAGATTTGCCTTGGCCAGATAACCAAGTCTGAGTCCTTGGTTGCATTCTTGGGTCCACAATGCACACTTAAAGAGACAAGTCTGTGGGCTCAGGACACTGAGAATTAGCAGTGTCCAGTGACCCCTATACAACATATTTTAGTCTCCCTTTGAGTCTTGCACCGGTGTCTACTGGTTCATTTAATCCTAATAAGGACTCTTTCTCTAACAGAAAGGAAAGATGAGGCCCAGAGAGCTTTGGTAAAATGCCCCAAGTCAACAGGTGAGGGAAGGACTAGAAACTCAAGCAGTAAAACATTTGTCAGCCCTGCCTCCTCTGTGTTTTAAGCAGGGCTTTAACTTGTTCAGCTCAGCACAACAGACTAAAAGGGATAGTATGTGGTCCAGGAAGAACTAAGCAGATTCTGTTTGTGGTTCATGGTAGGTAGAAGAGACTCCCACCAGGGAAAGCAACAAATTTAACCAGGCCACAAACTTCCCTCGAAGCTACTACCTTCCCCGGCCATACTTCAGTACCTTACAGTAATATTTCCTGCTCCTTACTTTTGTAGGCTGTTTCTGTGATCTACACAGCCCTACATTGCCCTTCAAGGCCTACATTGCCCTGCCACCTTTCTCTGAGCTGAGCAGCTCTGAGGATCTTGTCCTCCTGCTTGCAAGGGTGAACCCGCATGTATGTGACATTATTGATGTGCCTTCCGCATGTGTCCAGGGCAGAGGCCAGGGCTCTTTCAGCCCTGTCCCTCCCTCAAGTGCCTGTGGAAGCTCAGGATAAATTTGTTGAATTCACGATTCTTCTGCTCAAATTGAATAGTCTTGCCTGGCTCTCTCTCGCTCGGGTGGGGCCTGGCTAATCAGCATGATGGGATTTCTCATAAAGTGTGAAGAGGTGCATTGTCAGAACCCGCATTCCTATTTTAACAGAGACAACACTGCGCCTGACACTTGTGCTTGGGGGCGCAGGGTCTGAGGTGCAAAGAGCCTTCCAACCGAGCTGAGGGCTTGCCTTCGGTGACACCTCCTCCTGTTGCCGCGCTTTCACACTTGCGTGTGCACACAGGCCAAGATGGAAGGCGCGATCCTAACTTCTGCCACGAGCAGGTGGGAGGGAAGAGAGACGAGAGGTATTCCATTGGTTGTCTGGGAAAATGAATTGCACGTTCCCCTCACTTGCGGAGGATCAACTTTTCCCACCCCCTCGGGTGGGCACTCATAACCTGGGGTCGCAGTCAGAACCTGGGAGCCAAATGCCCCCAGTTCGAGGGAAGTGGAATGGACAGAGAACCCCCAGACTCGGGGAGTGCTGCACGTTGTCCCGAGTCCCTAGAGCCCCCCACTGGGGCGAGCCTGCGGACGCCCAAACCTGCGGCTCCGGGCTCCGGGTGGCGGGGCGGCGGCTAGCGTCGCTCGCGCGGTCCCCGAGGGGTTAGGCGAAGCTCGCTCTTCTCCAACAGCGAGCGGCAGCCCGACCCGCGGGCCCAGAGCACCGAGTCTGCCCCGCGCACGGGGCCGTAAGCGATGCGGCGCTGGAATGAGGAAGCGCCGCGCCGAGGGGAGGGCCGGTGGCGCTGCGCGGG